AATTTGCCTCACTACCAGTTTTTTTTTTTTTTTTTTTTTTTTTTTTTTTTTTTTTTTTTTTTTTTTTTTTTTTAATGGGGTTTTTTTTGTTTTTTTCCTTTTTTTTTTTTTTTTTTTTTTTTTTTTTTTTTTTTTAATTCCTCACAGTCTGCCCGGAGTAACCGAACCAAACTTGCTGAGAACCGGGCTCAGCGTCCCTCATGTGGTGATGATGATGATCCTGGATGATGCTAATGATGATGATGATTAGTATCTATAAAGATTACAGAAGCATGTGCTATATCAGCAATTCTGGCCTGCTAATCCTATACCAACTCCTAGTCTTCCCTGTACCAGGACATTGTAACTTAGAGACAAAACCAACCTAACGTACATCCCCCATAGCTGATCTCTTCTCGCCACATAGCAGCCCCCCCCGGTTCGCCACTGGATTGCCTTCCTCCCTCGGCAAACCCTAGATCTCTCTACAAGGCCTCACGCTCCTGCCATTTGCAGGTTACAGGGCAGCGCCCCAGCTCCGGCCAGCGTCGTTCTGGCATCGGTCAACCAGACGCACAGAACAGAGCAACTCTGCAGATATCAGTCCAGGGTCGACCATCTCTGAATTCCTATTTCCGAGATGTAGAAGAAGGCTAGATGCTGCCAAGAAAACCAGAACACCAGAAAGCTAAATATAACCTGATGATGATGATGATGATGCTTATGATAATTAGTATGTGAAAAGTTGTTGAAATAAAACAGGATCTCCTCCTCCTGCAGGATCAAAAAAAGTGGTATTAAAATTTCTATCAGTTAATAGCATAGTAATAGCACCTGCTAATACTGGAAGTGACAATAAAAGCAGAAAAGCTGTAATTAGCACAGACCAAACAAATAGAGGTAATCTATGCATAGAACCCCTCCTAGCCCTCCCTGTATCAAGACATTACATCTCAGAGACAATGCCCTCCTCACCAATGTCAACCATAGCTGACCTGTTCTCGCCACCTATACTATCCCTGGCCCCATAGGGTTGTCAAGGCAGCCCCCCCGGTTCGCCACTGGATTGCTTTCCTCCCTCAGCAGATCCCCAGATCTCTCTACAAGGCCTCACGCTCCCGCCAATGCAGGTTACAGGGCACCGCCCCAGCTCCGGCCAGCGTCGTTCTGGCATTGGCTAACCAGGGGCACAGAACAAGGCAACTCTGCAGATATCGGTCCAGATTCGATCATCTCTGAAATCCTTTATCCCGAATAAGGAGAATGCCAGATGCCGTCCAGAATTGCAGAACACCAATAGGCATGATATAACATGAATGATGATGATGTTATCCTACGATTAGTCTCCCCCCTCCCCTCCTTTCCACCCTGTCCCAACGCTGCCTCCGCCGAAACGGATTACCCAGACTACAGGCAACCCATCACAGCCCCAACTTGTGACAGTCCCACCTTCCCCCGCCTTGTCCCAGAAAGGCATACAGTTCCCTCCCAAAGTATGCCTCTGCCCACCATTTACCCTGATCTGCCCCCGCTGGTGTGAGTAACCCCACCACCAACCCCAGACTAAGGCAACCCACTAACTCTGCTCGCATCCCCTACAGGGCTTCACCTCCTACCTTGTGTCACCCCTGCAGAGCGGAGCTCTCCCCTGGTCCCTCACATTCCATCCATCAGAAATAAACGTGGATACTTCAGAGAGGAGAGTATAGATACCAGGAATCCACCTGGCATTTCGAAAAATGTGCTGAAAAAAATCAAATGAATTTCAAAGACGAGGTTTCTGAACTGGAGTTGATAAGAGTCAGCATTGTGGGAGTAAAAGCAGCAAAAATTAGACCTGGAAAGTGAAACGATTCAGAGATTGGAAATTTTAGCGAAAAAGGATTCGTATCTAGAATCCCAGCTGTAAGAAATAATATGAAGAAATTAATGGGAGTCTATAAGGAAAAAAATTTAGAATGAAATCCTCCAAAGTTAAGGCATATAAAAATACCTTATATGCAGGGCTGGTCGCCGGATGGACCGGGTGGCCCTCCCCCGACCGGGGTCCACCCGGTTGGACCGCGGCCGGTGCCCCGGGCCGGTTCACATCTGGTTGCCCCCAGCGCATTTTCGCTGGGGCCTTTAAAAAATTTTCTGGCGGCGCGGGGTCGGTGTTTTGGGTCCTTGGGGGCAGGCCGCGACCCGAAACTTCAAAACTGGGTCCGGCAGGCCCTCCTTTTTTTTGTTTGAAAACGGCCCAATCTTTGCCATCGATCGTCTCAGATCGGCGGCCCAGATTGGCCCCCGTTTTCAAACTTGTGAAGCTTTCGTAGTTGGGGAAGCGCGCGCAGTGTCTTCGAGGCAGCACCCGCCCGTCGAGCAGCGTCCAGCGTCGAGCAACGTCTTCCTTCGTCGAGGCAGCCCCCGCGCGTTGAGCAGCGTCCACCGTCGTCGTGCAGGATCGCCATCGCTCCGTAGGCCCCCGGCTTCCGCGTCTCCGAGGCAGCCCCCACGCCGTTGCCCCCCCGCCCCCCGCGCCGAGTTCATTGCGCCGCTACTTGCAAGGTTTGGTTCTTCTTCTTCTTCTTCTTCTTCTTCTTCTTCCTCCTCCCCTCCTCCTCTTCTTCTCCTCCTCCTCCTCCTCTTCTTCTCCTCCTCCTCTTCCATAGCTCATTATCTTCTATTTCCTCCTCCTCCTCCTCCTCTTCTTCTCCTCCACCTCTTCTTCTCCTCTTCCTTTTCTTCTTCTCCTCCTCTTCTTCTCCTCCACCTCTTCCTCTTCTCCTCCTTTTCTTCTTCTCCTCCTCCTCTTCTTCTCCTCCCTCCTCTTCATCATCTTCTTCCTTAACTCCTCCTCTTATTCACCATCTTTTTCCTCCTCCCCCTCCTCCTCTTCTTCGCCCGTTAGCCATAGCCCATGTGTTAGCTTTTTTTTTTTTTTTTTTTTTTTTTTTTTTTTTTTTTTTTCCTACAATTTTCCCGGGGTAACCAAACCAAACTTGCTGAGAACCGGGCTCAGCGTCCCTC